TAAAATTTACCGTTATCTAAAATTCGTTTTTTTCAAATTTTTGATGTCGTTTTCTTTCTAGATCCAAGATTGTAAAAGTTTGAAATTTTAACAGCTTTTATTCAAGTTGTTGCCTCTTGAAATTCGTTAAATCTACGGCATTATATATTTCCGAACCCGCAAGCTTTTTTTTAAATTTATGTAAACGCAGAAAGCTAACGGTAAATTCCATTATGTTAACGCCTCTTTAAATTTATTTTTTTTTTATTTCAAAGACTGTGTAAATCATTCATCCTGAATGTATGCAATCCTTGAAATAGTTTCTTATATGAGTGAAAATAATTTTACTATTGTAGTAGGAATACATAGATTGTTTTTCAAAGCAGCATTTTCACCTGTTAAAGGGAAAAGTGCTACATTACAAAATATTGGTTTGATACAACTTTATTTATAAAGCGTTTGCTTTCAACATTTTCGTTTCCTTTTTCACGTTTTTGTCATAAATGCATAATTTTACAACCTCTTTTGCTACAATTTTCCCATTAATTTTTGTACAAAAAGCATATTTACTTTATTCATATACCTGATTTTTATATATAAGTACATAAGTACTTTAAAATTTTCATGGATAAAAATTATCATATTGGATGTACATGGTACAGGTGTATGTTCCTCTAAGTATATTATTGTAAGAGAGCACTGTTCATACCCGTATGACATACACATATACTGATAACTTGGTAATAATGAACTCAGTAAATCAAAAAAAAAGTAAAGACAGTAAAAATTTGACCATGTCCACACTGCAGCATACTTAAGGAATAAGTACTTTAGTTCTAGGACAAAGTATCTACCACTATTGTATGCATGTAATATAGATATATTGCCAGTTGTTAGCAATATGGAAATGTTATGACTAAAGTTTATTATAACTTAGTCATAAAAATTATGTATTCATATTGAAATAAAAATAATTTTATTTAAGAATGACAGCACAGTTACCAAAATTAGATTTTTTATATTCTTTATTTTTTATTATTATACTTATAATTTTTGTATACTTAATATTAGATAAAAAAATATTACACTGAAATGTAAACAAATATTATGTTTAATGACATTTTTATACAAAAGGTGATTCTGGAACATAATAAAATTTGTTATTTTATCAAATTTATTATGCTATGTAAATTAAATTAGAGCACTCTTCACTTGCCACTTTTACAAAAACAGTTTAATTTGCATAATTTAGGGTTCAATACCCAATATTGAACATATTTTAATTTTAAGACACTTAGTTCAGCTCGTAATTCATTGACTACTGGCTTTGAATATAGTGATCAAAGAATTATTTTGTTGGGTTAAAATTAATAGTAAGGAACTGGAAAGCAGATTCTTTCAAAAAATTCTTTAAATATAATAATGAAAGGACTCTAAAATTTCTTTTTGAAATAGTATTATGGTTAATTCTTAGTTCTATTAATATACGTCAATATGCTTTTAATATTTCAGTTTTAAGTAAAATTAACTACAATTTTATAGACACACAAAAATATTGTAACTATCAAAGTAATTACTACAAATATAAGAAAAAAAAAAGAATTTTCAGCGAAAAATTATGAACAATGCAGATATTAATATTCTGAATTATAATTTTGATGATATGAGAATATTACGAGTTATAATTTTGCATGAACAGACTTCAATTATAACACGTGTGACATATGTCATTTGGTACTGTATATGATATTAACTTGCTGCGTTGCAACTCTTACGCCTTCACATTAAAAGCAAAATCTAAAAATCAATATAAAGTTTTTAATTTTCTCTTATGGAAATATTAATTATAATTAATTTATTAAAATAATCTTTTTTCGGAATCTCCTTCATAAATAAATTATCATTAGCATATATTTTCATTATAGATTCGCATCTTTTGTAGATGCTTTTTGTATTTTTTAACGATAAATAAAAAATCCACTTGATAATGGGTTTTGTATATATTATAATTTTTTTTCTTCAATTCAATTCTCCCATATTTAATACTTTAATCCTTAACAGATATGGGCAAAAATTCTAATCTATTTTAAACGAAATTAAGCGGGCAATAAAATACCTAATTCAATAATATTAAGTCCATAGCAAATTCACGTTATTAAAAATACAAAAATCAGAATTAGAAAAAGAGAACGAATTCATTTTAAAATTAAAATCACCTTTTTAAGCAACACCACAGAGTCGTTTTTGAAAACACAAAAAAAACAAATAAGAACTAATAGAAATAAAAACTTTTTCTTCAAACATGATAGAGAGAGAGAGGAGGAGGAAAAGGAGCAGAAAAAGGAGGAAGAGGAGATGGCAGAAACCAATGTACATATGAATTTTTTTTGAAATTATTTCTGTTTATCTTGCTTTTCTGAATTTTGCAATAATTTTTGTTATTTAAGAGTAAGTATATAAATGACATGATGATATCCTTCCTTAGACAATTATCCTTTTGGATCCATATAAACATTTTCATAATCCACATATTAGATATATTATCAAAAAAAAAAAATTCAATCTACCTACAATACAACATAAATAAATACATGGTTTACCTCTTTCATTTCGCCTTCCTCATCTTATTACTAATTCCATTAACAGCTAAAATAAGAAAATGTTTGAGTTGGGGTGTTTTAATTCGTAAAGTTTAGAGATCGGTATTTGAAGGAATTGAAAATTAAGTGGGGTAAGGATATTAAATGTGATATTCCGTAAATTGTCTAATGATGCGTAAAAATTGCTGAAGTGAAGAAGGATAATAAGTAAAAAGTCATGAAAATGACCATCATTTACCTTTTTTTGCTTGTTTTTTTAAATGGTATGTGTATATCATTGTTATGGAGTTTTTTTTTTAAAAAGGATAACGCAACAATACCCTTAAATATTATTTTGTTTTATATCTTGAAATGTACATATACGTATACGTATGTAGATGCTGCAGAATATTTATGTACTTTTTCCATAGATTTATTTAACGAATCATATAGTTCTTTTTGTTGTTTTTGTTCTTATTTTTTTAATAAGAGTAATTTAGTAATATTCAGTAATATTGATATTGAACAATTACATGACAGTGATACCGAACTCAGGTTTTTTATGTATATATATATTTGTGCATTGAAATATAATGTCACAAATTTCTTGGTTTATAATACCACAACTTCGGAATATTTATAAAATGCTTTTTAGTTTCAAAATTATTAATTTTTTATCAATTGTAATTATGAAATTCTAGCATTACCGGTGACACCCTAAGTGGGGAATGAAAGATTTTATTAAAAACTCACATACTGATTCATTTAATTTTGCTTTTTATTCAATACTTCTTTTGAGTAATATATGGAACAAAACTTTTTTAAACCGTACTTTAAAAATTCATACAAACAATTAATTCTGCATAGTGATATTCCCAGTTGCCGATTTCTAGGAAATAATTGAATCTAAATTCTATTGAGAATTCCAATTATATACATACTCGTATTAATATTCAAGATTACTGTGTAGGTATATCTTTGCAAAAATTGTATACAATTTTATAATACCATCTCTTTTTGAGAATGATATTAGAAGACTGCCTTTTGCATATATTGCAAAAATGTATTATTTTAACAAGGATACAAAAAAACTAAAGTAATAAATTTGTAATATTGTTAAAAAGCAGTTACATATATATTTCTATAATCTTACATTTGGTTTTTTTGTACACTTTTTGCTTTTCTCTCCAAAAACAGTTCACGTATGAACGTTATAAAAGAAAAAAAAATATTTTCTTTTTTTAAGGATAAATAGGTTTCCGGACCAATTGTAGAATACAGTAGGAATAAAAAAAATGTTATGTAATTCAAATATATTACAAAAGGTATAAGCACAAATTTACAAAAAATAGAAAAAGAATTTTAACAATAAGAAGGATCAAAACTTAAATACAAATACGAAAAAACAAACAAATTATTATTTTCAAAATCCTACGCAATTTTTCCTTATACTACTTTACGGATAGATTTTCTAAAATATCAATTATTATTATTGTGATGAGAAGCTATTTTTGTCTAACAATAGCATTTCAGAATCAACAAATTCTATAAGTTTTAAGATTACTTCCCCATTTAGGAAACTATAGGTAATTTTATTTTTGCTGAATATTTCAATTTTTGTTTCTTTTTATTAATATTTAAACCTTATAGATAAGTAATTATTTTTCAATGAAATTCAATATCTCTCCTTGCATATTGTATGCATGTTAAAACTTGAGAACAGTTGCTCAAATAAAAATCTGTAAAAAGGCTACGGGGCAACTTGATAAATGTGTTAAATATTATTGACTCAAAATTCTTGCGTCTAGCATCGATCAAAATCTTTTTTTTTAATTGAAAATCTTCATAAACAACTAATCTGAAAGATATATTATTAATTTATTTGACCATTATGTATTTGTTCCATTTTGAGTCACTCTATTTTTGAATAGGATACTTGCAAGAATTCATACTTTGCTGAAAAGGTTTTTCAAAATTTCAAGTGTTATTTAAAATATTTCGACAACATAAAAATCCTAAAATTTATCTAAAATATTTTTTAAGAATTTTACTCGTCTTAGTTTAAATCTTAATCTTGTACCAAAATAAAGGGAATTGGGAGATTCTTCTTCAATTTTTTTGAGAAAAATTATAAAATTAGCATTTGAGCAAGTTAAAATCAAGAACCTTATTAAACTTTTATTTTGCTTAGGTTGAGTCTGCTGTTATTCGTTTTATTACAAATTCAATTCATACACAGCTTAAGTTCAGAATTAAAATGATCTGTAAACCGGGCTATAACTTATGGTTTCTCTATATTAAAAAATTATAGAATACAAGAAAAAGGAAGCATAAAAACTTTACTTTATTGGTTTGTGTTAATTTATTTCATACAATGACAGGAATGATTTATGACCGAAAAATGTTTTTTTTTTTTCAACTTTTTTTTTTGTATACTTTCAGTTCATATTATTGCTCGTGCTTTAAAGGATTCAAAGGAAGCGATTGCAGTAGAGGACCACTTTGTGAACAAAACTATTGCGAAAATGGTGGAACTTGCAAGTAAGTTTTATTTATTTTTTTTCTAAAAACAATTAAAATTATCATAGAGTTGCTTAAGTAAAAAACTCTTACTTTTCATCAAAAAAAAATTTTTTTGAATTAATTTGCATTTTTCGTAGACACAAAATAGGCAATGATTGATTTTTGTTATTTTAATTTATCACCATTTTGTTAATAAATATTTTTAAGAAAGTAATGCTAGTAACGCTATACTACATGCGGCTATTAAATAAAACAAACTTATTTAGCGATACAAAATGTTTACAGTCACGCTCGACCTTCGTACATATTTTTTTGTTCCTTAGTAGAGTACGAGTTTTCATATCGTAAAATAGTATGAAATGTTTTATTTTTCATGAAAATGTTTTAATATTTGAATATTTAATTTCTGCTTTTTTCAGTTCATCAACATTGATTCTGCAATTTGAATTAGAAATTCTTTTAAATCATAGCTCCTATAACATTTAAATGTATTCACATAGTGTTTATCGTAATTTACAAACTACATTCTTCAATAAAAAATTTCTCATAATGATCAAAACCTAGAAGTTTACTTAAACAGTTTCAAATGAGATAAAAACCTGAGCATTTTTAAATCCTTTAACTTCCATAAATTTATAATTCAAAAACTCCCTTATCGACTTAATTTGGTTTAGTTGTTCCCGGTACATTCGGAAAAAATGAAAAATTTTTAGTATTGTACAGTTAAAGAAGTAACGTTTGTGTACTTCTTCCATGACAATCGATCGTGTTTTCATATCCTTCATGTTTTTTTCAATTATAATTCAAAAAATTAATTCAGATCTTAGTACCCTTTCTTCTAATTCCTTCTCACATACTATAAAAAATTTTAATATTTCTCACACAAATCAATTTTGAAAATATTTTTAAGTATTCTTGAGACATTCCTTAGAATATTTTTTATTCATTTCAGAGTAGTTAATGCTAAATGCTAAATTAACTTTTCTTAAAAATTGTTAAGTACCAACACTTGTATTTTACCACAGCCTTTCTAAATATTATTTTATCGATTACAGAAAAATCTCAAAATATAATTTAATCCTTTAAGGATATTTACACAATTGGCACATGTTGTACTTATATAGTTAATATCAGCAATTTTAAACTTTATTTTAATAAATTCTTGTCCCAGTTCTTAAACAACTTTTAAAAATAAATATAAAATTAGTAATTTCAGTTTTTCATATTTATATAGGTATTACTTTACATAATTTTATATATATATATGAGCAAAGTTTGAAGAGTTTTCTTAGTGAACTTTCAAAATGTAACAAACTCACATAATATTTAAGAATGTGTATAACGTACCTATATTATATTTAGGACAAGTATGCAGATTTTTTTTAAATATATTATTTTGTTTAATTTATTTTCTTGCTTTTGAACTAAATTTTTAGGTCTATTTAATTTTCATTTCATACTTATATACTTACAAACTTAATACGTTAAGGATGTTCCATCAAAAAGAATAAAATAAACAAATTTCAAGGTGAAAACAGTTATGCATATATTATGTACAAATGTATGGGTGTATGCTTGAAAAGCTAGTTAAAAGGAAAATTTTAAAAGAAATCATCGTTACGCTTTAAATTTCAAAAGGAAAGGGTTTTTGTAACGGTTTAATGACAAATTTTATTAGAAAATTTGAGATCAAGAATTTTCACTGGTTTTACTATTGTAACTGTTAATATTCTGTGTTCTCTACCACAAGCTCATTAGAATTTTATGACAAGATGACTTGAGTATGACTAGAATTTTTACATAAATTTTAATGGCTGCTTCTCCATTTGTCAACAAACCGCCTCAAGTTTGAAAGTGTTCATTCTAAGGTAATATTAATTTTAATAAATTTTATTTAAAAAATTTTGAACAAAATTGTTTAATTAAAATTCGTACAAGATTTCATACAAAGATGTGCAAGTGGAAGAATTTAAATTTAAACAAAGAAATTAACAGAAATGTCATTCATTAAACGTTCACTTAATTTTATCAAATCAATTGAAGTGAAAATATTTCGAAGATTTTCTGTGTATGATTCTCATATTAAAAATTTAAAAAATCTCGTGAAAAACAATTTCAACTTTGAATCGATATTTAAAATTTCACTAAATTTCCCAATAAAAAATAATCATTCATTTAAATTTTGAAATAAAGGCAACCGCAACAAATTAAAATAATTAATTGCAACTATTATTAATTTTAAAACAAATTTTTATAACATTAAAAGTCAATTACAGGTTTAATATTGAGGTTGAATAACTCCAAAAATTATAAAAAAATGTACTGGGCCCTAGCAGGAAGCATGAACTTATGCAAAACTTTTATTTTTAAGTTCATACTTCCTACGATTTCATTTTTTCGCCCCTATTTTATTCATTACTTTCTTGGAAAAATTACCCATAAATTTTTGGTATTTAACGCGGAATTTCTTTTTAAAATGAACCCTATTCTTAATAATAAATCATAATCATTAAATTCAAAATAAATCTAAGGGAATGACGTTTTCATTTTATACCTTAGCATGAAGAAGAATCTTAAAACGGTTAGCATTTAACTCATAAAACTTGTATAATTCTTTTTCTCTTATTCTATTCCGCACCAATACAACATATTTTCAATTGACTGCTACACCTTCTTCTTGTACGTATACATATATGGACATATTATGTATGTACTTATAAAGTTTTGTGTAAGCAACTAACATACACTAAATATATGCAGTATGACTTACCAATTATGCAGATCCTTCTGTTAAAATGCATAAAAGTATAAAAAATTAATGATGAAAGTATAAACAATCATCATTTATACAACAACAATAAAAACAACAAAATCATTTTATCATTACAAATTCTCAGAATTTTATCCTAGTTTTATTTAATTTTTCCTTTTCATTTTTATGCTTCAGGGTAACTTTGAAAAATTTTCAATTTCAAATGTAAGTCGACTGCGTCCTTTAATGTCATTATTTTTATATATAGCACCGTAAATATTATATACTGTATGTTTTGCATAGTGAAAGGATAAACCTGTAATATTTTATATGTACATACGTATACCTGTGTTTTTACAGAAACTTATTGATGACATAACCGTATATCTTCCACACAACAGATATATAATATTTTTAGGCATCGTACACATTTTATATTTTAATATACATGTGTATGTATTATATGGGTAGTAAGTTTTTAGTAAGTACGAGAAAGAGTTCAAGTATAGCAAAACATACTTGTTAATATGCATGCACTATTTAAATTCCTTAAGAATAGTATTCATATGAAAAATCATAATATAGTAGATACGGTTGATATTTTTTTGCTTGAGAAAGTACTGAAGAATCTACAACAATTTAAGTTTGTGTACATAGTTAAAGGGAACTCATTCTACAATATTGAAATGAAGAATATCTGAAAAGGTATAAGAAACGTAAAGATATAAGATAGTAAAAATAAATTTTTAAATAAAAATAAATTCGTAGATGAAATCGAATGTAATAAAATACAATAAAATTTCTTAATACTCGTATGAAAAATATTGGTGAAAGTTGTTAAAATTGCTTAAAAAACTCAGTTTAATTTCATATTTTAAAATAGTTAATCAATATGTTTTATTTCTGTGGTAATGATTCAAAATTTCCTCAGTCAATTTGTAAAAAAGTGCATTGATAATGCAGCAAAATTTGATTAAATTTGGATGATAACGAATTAGTTAAGTTAAAGTAGATAGACACCCTTGTAGCCACCTCATATTGTATGTTGATATTATAATTATATTACCACACCAATTTATCACATTATGTTGCCTGTCGAACACATTAATATATGAACCCTAATGTTTCATATCTGTGTATATAGCTATCTTACTTTTTATTTATCTTACTGTTTGTCGATAACAGGAGAACAAACGTTATAAAAAAAATTGATATAGAGCCTGAACTCGTATTTTACTCGGCAAGTGAAAAGAAAGTTATTTCAAGAATAAAATATCCATTAGAAAATCTGAGAATTCTGATTTGAAAGTGAATAGAAAAAGTGAGATGAAAAAGCGAGATACACAACTAGGCAGATAATTTAGAATTAAGTATTCATTATTCCATTATTAAAAGAGAATAGAGAACTCTTTAATAGCACAAAAGTTTTTCAATCGATCAATAGTTTTTTCCTTAGAAGATCGAAAATGGTAAAAACTTTTGTTCCGGACTAGATGCCAAATCTCAATGGTTTCCTAGTTCCTGGGATTTTACCGAAAGTTTTTCTTACGCAAATTTTTTTGATTATAACTTCCATTCTAAAAAAGATGGGAACTTCAAAGAAACAGTTTCTGAAAGGCCTAGTGAAGGGCTTAAAATAAACATGCATGATTCTGTATTTATATACCTTCGGAATACCAAGCATTCGAACTTTAGGGAAAATCAAATTTTTCCCTTGTTTTATTTTTTCAGTTTTTTCTAACTAGATAATTTCGTAAGAAATTTTTTAAAACTTTCAAATTTTTTTATTGAATTTTTCCCAGTTGTTTAAACATTAACAATGTGAGAAAAATGCATTTAAAATTTTCAAACCATATATGTAGGTACCATTTCTTATAAAAATTGGCAAAAATAAAAAACCTATCAATTTTTTTATCAAGAAAAGTTTCGAAAAAAATTTTTTGATTACTAGATTTTTTTTTTTGTTTTTCGTTGTACAAAATTAATTCTAGTTTTTCTTTTCAAAAATTTTAAATTTTTTAAATTCAATTTTTGTTTTTTAATTAAGTTTGTATAAAATTTCGTTTCAATTTTCTTATTATTTGCTGAAAATCTGAATTTTATTGTTATTCAATAACAACAATAAAATTCTGATTTTTTACCAAAATAACGGCTCTTCAAGATGTCAACTGTTTTTTCAAGTGACTATAATTGTCACCAAAAATTAATAACAGTTGATAATTACAACGTTTAAAATCCTTGCCTTTGAGAGTCTTTAAAATCTTGA